TATTTATTAAAACAAAATTAATACTGAGCATCAAAACCAAATTGTTTTTCATTTAATAAAACAAAAGGAAATTCAAGATAACTTTTTTTAGTAAAACAAAAAATTAAAATAGTTTTATTAAGCATTTAAGGTTAAAGTTTTAACCAATAAGTGTAAAAAAAAAATTTTACGGAGGTCAAAACAAACTCTTTCTTTATAAAAAGACCTTAAAAATTAATATTTTTTAATTAGATAAAGACAATTTTTTTTTAATAAAAATGTTAATTTAAAATAATTTCTCCTTAAAAATACAAAAATTAACTTTTTCTCTAAATAAATTTCAAACCTCAACCAAGCCGTTTCAATTCTGTCTAACCCTCTCGGGTGTCTGTTGTGGATTATTGATGTCCATTTATTCAATTTATGTTATTTCATGGATGTAATTTACGCGAGGCCATGGTCGCGATTATTTTTATTTTTCGCGTTTTTTGGGAATTTGTAATTTACGCGAGTGGTCGCGATGCTTTCATTTACTGCTTGCTTTATTTTCATATTTTTTTTATGTCTGCCATGTAATAATTCTGTTACTTGCATGTTTTTACCGTTATTTACCCTCCGAAGGAATTAGGATTAACAGTTTGACCACCGAGTCAATAACCTTAGTTTCAACCATTTAAAAACCCTAATAGCCTAGGTGTCCCGCCGTGGACGAAAACACCCTTTACCCTAGCTTTTAGGTCAAAGAGCCTTCGTGCTCTGTTTAGGGTTTCCCGTCATGGAATCCCTAATTTAACCCTAATTTAATTAACAAATTCAACATAGAAATAGGAGTTTCAAAGACTCCACGTAAGTGTGTCCTTAAGATACGTTTACTCCCCATTGAAACCTTGACCATAGTCAAGAAGTTTCTAACCTCCCTTTCGAGGGGAACTACGATTACTCTGATTCCATTCCCTATCCAGGATACTTAGGCACAAGATGTGAATCTTACCGAGTAAACTTAGGACTAACCCTTAGGTCTTTTAGGTCACTCTATCCCTTAGCTCAATATATATTAAAGCAGATAATGAATAAAAATAAAAAAGGGCATACAATAAACAAAAGATTCCTGTAGAGTACTACAGAAGTTTAGGGTGCTAGTACCTTCCCTAAGCTTAACCAACCTCTTACCTAGGTCTCTCCCCGCATTGTGTTTACGATGCAAAAATATGTTTTCCCTCTTTTGACCTTTTCCTTCGGATAAATCAAAGAGCGGTTGTGAATCAAGAATTGTGATTCAAACTAATTAATAGTTTGATATCCTATTTCCACCGCAACATTATCGACAACCTCTTAAGGTTTACCATGAACTACCATTCAATTTTTCCAATCCTCATTAGAGATTGAAGCCTTAGAATACACCGACAAATAAACCCTCTCCTTTTCTCTGAAGAAGACCTCGAGAAACATCTAGACAATTTTTTCTTTTTTCTACCCGTAAGGGATCGAACTAAATCAAATATATCTTTAGCTGATAACCTCAACTCTCTTTTTAGATCAAGAATAGACGATACTAATTTCCTATTACGAGATTTACACATGCATATTCCCTTATCTTGCTTAGTGTGACTAGTTCTAAGTTTATTACCCTTGGAACATCCTTCCTTCATTTTTTCTTTCTTTTTGAAAAATTCATAACTCCAAGAACCATGCCAATCATATGAAGTTTTCAACTTAATACCTCCTTGAGGCCGCTCCTTATTGCACTTTCACATTTCATCTGCATCTGCTGATCATTTAGCGTGAAGTTAATTCATAAGATTAGCAATCAAGGGTACATCTTCAAACTCGCAGTCTGGTTCAGTACCCTAAGACTCATTTTCCTTATCATACAAAACTAAACATGTGTCATCTACTAAGTCAAACTCTAGATACTCCACAAATCTAGTAGGATATTTTTTCTCATCAATTCGAAAATCCTCTACCTCATTTATTTCCCCCACCAATTTTGTAGTGATAAAATTACGAGCATAATCTAACCTCCATTTATTACTAGTGCATTCACCGGTTTTCAACAATATTCCTTTAACCAAATTAAGCTCGCCAAAAAACCTCACATTCCATGCATGTAACAGTATATCATGCAACGAAACCACGCCCCCTTTCATAAACAAAGTCATTATCCTTTGACAAAGCAAAACAATCATACATAAAAGAACTGAAAAAATCAGCCACTTTATTGAAAGTTGACATCACCTTCGACTTGTTCGTAAAATACAAATAGATTTTATCTTCTCCCAACGGTGCAACCATAAAATCATGAAACTCAACATCTGAGACAGATTGTTCAATAACTAGAATGCTAACATAATTCAGAATCCTAGTCACCATACTATTACATGCCCGTTTAATGTCTTTAGGCACAGTCGCATAACTTCTATCAGCCGGAACCACCTCTCCCTTCCCACCTTCGACCACCTATACATTCTTATTATTCCCCCTTAATACTAAGAAAAGAGTACTCATTCCTCTCCTTTAACACCTTACTTACCACCCCCTAATCAGTCACCACTATGAGTTTTTCCTTTTCCTTCCTAATTGTTTCCTCACTCAGCCTCTCCAACTCCTTATTCCTACTAATCCCAAAATCAGCATCCCTTCTCCCCATTCTCCCTTAAATGTTTTGTCCTTATGTCTCAACATTTTTTCTCCCCCCTCCCCAAGTTTCTTCTATCAAACATTTCAAATCTATCATAACGAGCCACATTCATAAACAATCGATAATCTCCAAAATAAAGTTGCTTAAACCTTTGCTCAACTTTTCCACATCCCTCACCTTAGCAAATCGAGTGAAACCAAACAATTGACCTATTGCATTTCTATTTTGAGAAACAAAAACATCGAATAACATTCCATATACCTCTTATTCCTTTTGTAATTCCACATACTTAAGGTTATTTAGAAAATTGGAAAACTAGAAAGAAACCATTGTTGCTCGAGTAATAGATTTTGCATGACTCTAAGCCCTACACGTACGTGATCTTCCTCTACCAACATCATTCCTAGAATGATCACACCGAAACCTATTTTGAATTACACCATCATGGAAGCCACCCACTATCCATATACCTCCGCAAAATTCTATCGCATATCTGATGTTCTTGCGATCCTGTCCATTGCCTATGAAACTCTTGCTCCTACTTCCTTCATGTCGTGCAAAAACCAAAAACCTATCTTGTCCTTGAACTTTCGATTGAAACGATTTTCAACATCTAACCCTAACCCTAGTCCTTTCTCCCCCGCCATTTATACCACCATGGCTGAATTTTCTATCCATTTTCTCTTCATCGTCAAAAGAGAGTTGTTTACCGATCACCATCTGCCTTAAAGAGATCACGGTTAGAACCTAACCATGTTCATAAATAATTTAAAATTAACAAAAACTAACCACGACTTAGATGTTATTTGATATGGACATTTAATCTACGTTTGATTTTATGTTTAAAACATTAAGAATTAGATTTTAAGTATAAATTTATTTTGAATTATTGTTTTCTTAAAAAGTTATTTCGTCTAAAATTGATTCTAATGTAAAATTATAATTATTATATATATCGTTTGATAAAGTAGAAAAGTTATCTTACCATTTTATTCGAATCGAAAAGAATTATGATAGTTGTCAAAATTTTCTTTCAAAAATGTTTAACATTATTATATATAACGTTTGATAAAGTAGAAAAGTTATCTTACCATTTTATTCAAATATAAATAAATTTAATTTTTAATTTATTTAAACACATAAAAAATAAAAATAAAAGAGAAAAGATTATTACTAATGAAATAGTAGAATCATTGTAATTTTTGTGTGCCTAAGTAACTTATGTTTGTGTTTATATAAGAATCATCCTTCTTTGTTGTAAGGATCACCTTTCTAGAAGAGTGATGACCGTGAAAACATTTATTTATGGTTATTATTATTTTAATTATAATTTTGCTTTTGAATTTGTGCAATATTTGCACTTGTGGTCGTAGTTCAATGTTACTAGCTTTATTCCTAAAAAAACTAGTTTGAATAAAATAACTATTTATAAATAAAAGTTGTATGAAAAAAATAAAAAGAATATTATTTATTAAAAAATTCCTAATATTCATTAAGGTATTCATTATTATGACTATTATTATTATAAATACCATATTAGAGATATTAAACTTAAATTAATATAAATAGTATTAATAAAATAATGGTGCAATTGAATATAAAAATAATAATTTATATTAAAATAAAAAAAAAATATGAAAATATTTTAAAAATAATAATGATCATCCAATTTAAGATAAAAAGAGAATACAAATGAAAAAAAAGATAATTATACTATAAACAAAATTTTATATTTTTCTGATATTTTAAATAACTTATGTATTTGGTTTATATACAAACCAGATACATCTTATTCAATTGTTTGATTAAATGCATCAATAATTAACAAATTAAAAAAGTTACATTTAGTTAATTGAAATAAAATTAAAAAAAGAAAAACTTTACAGTAACAAACTCCCAAATAACATTGTGGTCCCCTAAACAAAACTTTTAAAATTAAAATATTAAATACACAAAAATTATGTCATAAAATTTTCATACATATATATATCTTTTTAAAGTAAAAAATAATCTGTTTTAATAGTCAAAATAAGTCCTAAAATGAAAACAAATAAATTATAACAGCTAATCAACTTTTTCTAAAGTAGAAATATGTTACCATAAAAATCGCCATAGTTATCTCTTACTTCTCACATTGCCGTGATTTTGAGTCACATTCAATCTTAATTATTTTTTAAAAAATGAATAGTTATCATAAAACGGTTTATATAATAAAATGTGAAATTGTGACCATATAATAATAACTGTTATAAATTGTATTAAAAATAACAGTTGTCTTTTGTATGAAAAACGTTATCCCTATAAAAAGGTTGAATAATTGCAGAGAGATTCTCGTGTGACATCATATTTGGTTTCAATTTCTTCAAAGATTCCTGTCTCTGCAATGGCAGGGGTCGATGGAGATACATTTCCTGTTCATACTAAGGACCATGAATCCAAACTTTCAATCAAAGGTTAACCATCATGTTCATGTTTATGTTCATGTTCATGTTCATGTTTATGTTCATGCATTGTCTCATTGTTCTTGATTGATATAGCTTTCATATTGTTGGTTTTCAAGGAGTAATTTTATTCTAACATGTTGTATGTTTGTTATGTGAAGAAACCTTCATTTTCATGGTGTGATATTGAAGAGACATTAAGGTGTTTGATAAGATGTTTGAATGAAAAATGATTTTGACGAAAGTACTGTGCCAGAGTGATTTTTATAAAAGTTTTGAATTGTAGTTTTTGTCAAAATTGTGGTGGCGTATCCTTATATGTTTCAAATTGTAGTTTTTGTAAACAATGTTTTGATGGAATTGGATTTGACAAAATCACTCGCGCAACGTGATTTTCGTAGAATTTCCAAATTGTAGTGTTTGTTGAAATCGCGTTGGATTTTGAGTTTGACGAAATCCCTACGCCACCATGATTTTTGTAGAAGCTTCAAATTGTAGATTTTGTCAAAATCATGGTGGCTATCGTGATTCGTTCAATCTCAATGTGAACCAAAATATGAATCCTATGTAGTTGCAAGTTTGATGTCATACATCTTAGTATCTCAGAGAGTTAAATCTTCCCAGATTAGCTTGGTTGTCTAGATTTTTTTGAGAATAAACATTTCAGATTAAAAGAGTATTTGTGTCTCTGTTGATGTTTGTTAACTTGTCATTGTTGTGTGTTAATGTTTATATTCAAATTATTACGTGTGTCAGTGTCAGGGTCTATGCTACGGCTGATGTTTATTGTTAACCTGACATTGTTTTGTGTGTTTGAAACTAAAGCTAGAGATTGTTTGATGCAGATGATGATGAGACAGAAGTGGATGATTCACCTATAGAACAGGTGAGACTAACAGTGTCAATAACAGACGACCCTTCGCAACCAGCACTTACATTTAGGACATGGGTTATTGGTTTGGGATGTTGCATTGTCCTTTCCTTTGTAAACCAATTCTTTGGGTACAGAACCACCCCTCTATATGTCTCTACTGTGGCAGCACAGATTGTTTCTCTCCCAATTGGAAAATTAATGGCTGCATCCCTTCCTACCACAATATATAAATTTCCCTTCCTCAATTGGTCTTTCACATTGAATCCTGGACCATTCAATTTGAAGGAACATGCCCTCATTACCATCCTTGCTTCTTGTGGATCTGGTCCTTATGCCATTAACATTATCGTCATTGTTAAGGCTTTTTACCACAGAAGTATCAATCCGGTTGCTGCTATTTTGCTAGCACTGACAACTCAGGTGAAAAATTTTGTTTTCTTAAATGTTAAAACATTTTTTCCAATTAATATATAATCATCCAAAATAATGATATTTTTTGTTCATGAATTTTGTAGATGCTTGGTTATGGATGGGCTGGTATTTTCAGAAAGTTCCTTGTGGACTCTCCCTACATGTGGTGGCCTTCAAATCTTGTTCAGGTGTCTCTATTCAGGTATTTCTTTATTTTTTCTATCACTCTCTTTGTTTGTGCAAATTCTTTCATGTTAATTTAAAATATTTAAAGCTAATTAACTACTACTCTGTCCTTAAATATAAGACCGTGCTTTGGTTTACTCGATGATACCTTAGAACAGTGGTAGTAACACATTTTTAAGGAATATTTTTGGGTCATATTTAGTCATAGTTTAACCGTGACAAATTTACTATGAGATTATATTTAAAACCTACACTTTTTGATGTGTCCGTGTCTAGTATTTGTATGTGCTTCATCTATTTATTGTTTAGAATTATGATGTTGATTTTTTGTTTTTTCTTATTGGTCAATGAATCTTGAATGACACAGGGCATTTCATGACAAAGAAATTAGGCCTAAAGGAGGAAACACAAGGCTGCAATTCTTTCTCCTGGTCTTTATTGCTAGTTTTACATATTACACTATTCCAGGCTACTTGTTCCCATCATTGTCAACCATCTCTATTGTTTGTTTGATATGGAAAAACTCTGTCACTGCTCAGCAGATTGGTTCAGGAATGAAGGGTCTCGGTATTGGTTCATTTACCCTTGATTGGAATACTGTTGCTGGTTTCCTAGGAAGTCCTTTGCCTGTTCCTGGTTTTGCCATCATCAACCAGCTTGCTGGATTTTTCATATTTCTCTATATTGTGGTTCCCATTACCTATTGGAACAATTTTTATGAAGCCAAAAAATTCCCTTTCATCAGTCCTCACACATTTGATTCCACTGGTGCAGTATATAATGTAAGCAGGGTTCTTAATTCAACAACCTTTGACATTGATTTGGATAGTTATAACAATTACAGCAAACTCTATCTTAGTGTCATATTTGCATTTGACTATGGATTGAGCTTTGCAACTCTCACTGCCACCGCTTCCCATGTTTTCCTCTTCCACGGAAAGTATGTTTCTTTATATTCCACATTCTTCGATTACGTATTATTGATGCAATTTTTATAATTTAACCATCTAACTATATATATATATTCTGGTGACTGTGAATTTGAAAGAGAGATTCTTCTGATGTGGAGGAAGACAACAGCCGCACTAAAAGATAAAGCCGGAGACGTGCATACCAGAATCATGAAGAAAAACTACGCACAAGTCCCTGAGTGGTGGTTCATGTCAATTTTAGCCCTTATGATTATTCTGTCCTTGGTATGCTGTGAAGGCTTTGGCAAGCAGCTCCAACTTCCATGGTGGGGATTCTTACTTTCCTTAGTAATTGCATTGGTTTTCACTTTGCCAATTGGTGTCATTCAAGCAACAACAAACCTGGTAAATTTTTCTTTCTTAATCCTCAGGCTTCTCTGTAAGGGCCCCTAAAAAATAAGCTAAAACATGTTACTACTTTTTATGCAGCAACCTGGTTTAAATGTGATCACAGAGTTGATCATTGGGTTCCTTTACCCCGGAAAGCCTCTTGCTAATGTAACCTTCAAGACTTACGGATACATCAGCATGGTGCAGGCACTTACTTTTATCGGCGACTTCAAATTAGGCCACTACATGAAAATTCCTCCGAGATCTATGTTCGTAGCACAGTTGGTAGGAACTGTGGTTGGTACATGTGTAAACTTTGGCACAGCATGGTGGCTTCTAACAAGTATTCCAAACATATGTAACCCAGATTTGTTGCCAGAAGGTAGTCCTTGGACTTGTCCCGGCGATGATGTGTTTTACAATGCTTCAATCATATGGGGAGTAATAGGACCACAGAGAATGTTCACCAAGGACGGAATTTACCCTGGAATGAATTGGTTTTTCCTCATCGGTTTACTTGCGCCTGTTCCGGTTTGGTTCCTAGCTCGCAAATACCCAAACCACAAGTGGATTAGACTCATCCACCTGCCACTTATCTTTTCAGGTGGCGGGAATATACCACCAGCTAGAGCAGTGAATGTTCTTTCTTGGGGAGTTGTTGGAATTTTCTTTAATTTCTATATTTACCATAAGTACAAGACATGGTGGGCTAGACACACTTACATTCTCTCAGCTTCTCTGGAAGCTGGTATTGCTTTCATGGGTGTGTTACTCTTTTTTGCGCTTCAAAATTACGATATCATTGGTCCAGAATGGTGGGGCCTTGATGGAAGTGATCACTGCCCCTTGGCTGTCTGTCCTACAGCTCCTGGTATAAAAGCCAAGGGATGTCCTACCTTTTAAACTCCATAGTTGCATTCTATCTTATCATCATTGGTCATGAAAATGTCTACACAAAGTCTCTAGAATAATTAACCAGTGTTGTTAATCGTGGAAAATAATTGATTGTTCAAAGTGCTGCTATTGCAGTTTGTTCAAATTCATCGTTGTAGCCGCTATTAGACAACATTGTAGTTAACATGGTTTGTGGTTTGTAATTTCTATTTTTTCTAAGTTGTATAAATACATTAGAAAAGGTCAACATGGTGTACAGATTGCAAAATTGTTTCAACAAACCATTTCCTTAGTTCTGTCCATTGAATTCACAATCGCCAGAAGCACAATATTTGTTGGAATGTGGATGCATTCAATGACAATTTTCATTATTTTTAAGCCCTTCTACTTAGACAATATACATGACAATTTTATGAGAAGTATAACTTAAGCGAGGATTTTAACATGCTACCAAGTTATAAAAGCTAAAAACGAAAAGAGTTAATACTCAACTTAGGGTAAATTATGCGTTTGTATGCATTACATTTTAACACGGCAATTGAAAATACAAATTTTAATCTCATCTTCTGCTCAGCCACCTTATGAAACAACTCTTAAAGTTGAACAAGAAAACAATATAGTCTGGATAATAGATTACATGAAGAAATATAAATTTTGAAACAAGAAAGATTAAACTTAGGGCAACAAATTTATTTTGTTACACTTTGTATTGTTTTTTGTGTTGATGTTGTTACTTTTGTTTGCATACTAAACAATTTATAACAAGTTACATACTAAAATATGAATGGAGGATAACGAATATATCATACACCTTTCATTTGAATGATGGAATGATGGTTAAATTGTTATTCTATTTTAACCACCTACAATTTATCTTTACGGTAAAATGGATGGATTGGATGGATATGGATTGGAGTGTTAATGGATGGATCAAAACAATCCATTAACAATCCACTAACTCTCTTAATAAAAATCCAATCCAATCCATCTATTAAGAGATAAAATTCATCCAATCCATCCATTAACATATTTTTAATGGATGGATATCCATCCATCCAAAAAATTAATTTAAAAATTTTTAATTATTTTTTAAATTTCATAGAAACATAATTTAAATTTTTGAATTATTTTTTAAATTTCATTAAAAAATTTAAATTTTACAAAAAAAATTAATATTCTTAATTATTTTTTAAATTTCATAAAATAAAAATTAAATTTTACAAAAAAATTATATTCTGAATTATTTTTTAAATTTCATAAAAATAATTAATATTCTCAATTATTTTTTAAATTTCTTTTAATCTATATTAATTTACATGAAATTTCATAAAAGAAGCTTGTGAAGTTTCATGTTTGTTTTCTTTTTGAGTTCATTGATGGCTCATATCTTTTTTTTCCGTTAATGATGGTGTGAAAGTTCCTACCTGTTGTATTTCACTTTGAATAAATAAATATCGTTGGACAAACTTATTGTTTTTTCTCATATATATATATATATATATATATATATATATATATATATATATATATATATATATATATATATATATATATATATATATATATATATATATATATATATATATATATATATATATATATATATATATATATATATATATATATATATATATATATATATATATATATTCATTTTCGAAAATAAATTCATTAATATACAAGCATTTATTTAGCCAGTGAAACTAATATAAAAGCATTTATTCAACCACTTTTTCACTCCCCTTAGATAGGGATATCATTTTTAATGATTAATATGTCATTTATATATAATATTTACGAAACTAAAATTTTAATTTTTCAAAACTTTTAATCTATAGTCTGATTGTGGTAACTTATATCTCACCATTAAAAACTTTTAATCTATAGTCCGATTGTGATAACTTATATCTCATCTATAGTCCGATTGTGATAATTTATATCTCACCATTGAAAACTTTTAATCTATAGTCCGATTGTGGTAACTTATATCTCACCATTGAAAATAGAAAAGGTGAACCCTGAATTATATTTTAAATTTTATAAAAAATTATGAAGTCGGTTTTTTGTATTTTAAAAAAGTTGGTTTTTTTTCGAAAAAATTTCTTTATTTTATTAAAAAAGAAATTTGTTTTGTTTCGAAAAAAAATCATTTCTTTCTTAAAAAAACCTTTTTTTTTCGAAAAACAAATCAATTTTTTATTTTGAAAAAAAAAAACGATTTTTTTTCAAAAAAAAAAACATATTTTTTTCAAAAAAAGAAAAACAGATTTTTTTTTCAAAAAAAAAAGCAGATTTCTTTTTCAAAAAAAAAAATTGATTTTTTTAAAAAAGAAAAATTGATTTTTAAAAAAAAAATTACAGTTTTTTTATTGAAAAAAAAAATAATTTTTTTCTTTTAAAAAATTTATTTTTATTTAAATTTTAAAAAATCTATTTTTAATTATTTTTAAAAAAATAATATAACAAAAATAAAAATAATCCATTGGATTCTCAAAATATGTTGGATGGATTGAATTCATCCATGCATATAAATGGATGAATTTAATCCAATCCATTAACTTATTTTTTATAGGATGGATGGATTGGATGGATTTTTTGATGGATGGATTGGATGAATTTTGTCTTAATGGATCCTATTGTCACCTCTAGATTCTAGTAACAACTCCTCTAAATTATGATCACAATATTATTTCCTGATATTTCTACAATTCTCCAACTCGTTCACAATTTGAAATATTCAAATTTTGGACGAATATAAAATAATGTTTAGCAAGTTTAAGCTCTGTTGAAACTTGTTACCTAACACAACTTTAATTAACATGTATGTAGGATTTTCATCATGTACCTTTGTAAGAAAAATATGACTTTTTTTCTACAACACTCATACAAAATTATATCTTACATCGACATGCTTAGTGCGAGCATGATGAACCTGATTCTTAGCCAAATGAATCTCACTTTGGCTATCACAATTCAGATTCACATATTCTTGCTCAATCCCCAAATTTTCTAAAAGATCCCACAACCACAATGCTTCCTTCACTCCTTTTATTACGACCATTTACTCGACTTGTGTAGTAGATAATGTCACTATAGCTTGTAACAATGATCTCCAACTAACTATAGCACCATGTATTTTAAATATATAATCAGTAGTAGCTCATCGTCTATGTACATCTCCAACATGATCAGAATCAACAAAACCGTTTAACTAATATGTATCTCCACCATAGCATAACCAGGTGTCAACAGAACCCTTTAAGTACCTTAAAACTTATTTTACTGCCTCCCAATGTTCTTTTCCCGAATTTTCCATGAAGCTACTAACAACACAAATCACTTGTGAAATATATGGACGTGTACACACTATTGCATACATTAAATTTCAAACTGCACTAGCGTAAGGAACATATTTCATGTATGCCCTATCTTCCGATATAATGGAAGATTGTTTACTACAGAGCTTAAAATGTAGAACCAAGGGAGTCACCACAAACTTACCCTTTCAATTACATGTTCAATGTATAATTTGTTACTCGAGAACAATTTTCGGTTTGATCTTTCTCTTCCAATCTCTATACCCAGTATTTTATTAGCAACTTCCAAGTCTTTAGTCTCAATCTCTTCACCAAGTTGAGTTTTTAACCTATCTATCTCCACATTTCTCTTTGAAGCAGTGAGCATGTCATCCACATGCAATAGAAGATATATATAATCACCTCCGCAAAGCTTACGAATGAATACATAACAATCATAATCGCTTCTAGAGAAACTTTATTTTAACATAAATGAGTCAAATTGTTTGTACCACTAGCGAGGAGAATGCTTCAATCCATAAAGTGATTTTCTCAATCGACCTAACTGACTCTCTTTATTGTGTAAGATGGTTGTCTTCACATCAAGTTGTTCTAACACAAGATCATCATGAGCAACAAGACTTAATAGCACCCATATAGAAGTAACTTTTACTACTAGAGAAAATATCTAATTCTAATCAACCCTTTATTGTTGTGCAAATCTATTAACCATTAGTCTAGCCTTATACATTATACTACCATAATTGTTAGAATCCTATTTTTTTGTGTACACTCACTTACAACCAATAACAGTATTTTTCACGGACAATGGGACCACCTGTCATGTCTTGTTCTTATGAAGAGATTACATCTCTTCCTCCATAGTAATCAACAAAATCTCTCTATCTTTGTCTTTGATATCTTGTTTGAAAGTGAGAGGCTCATCATCTTCAACTCAGACTGCATATTCCACCAAGTTTACGTGCCCATAATTTCTCAGAGGTTTGTCTGATCTAAACTTCTAAATTAGTTTATAATTCCTATTTAGCCTAGTGGTATACAAATATTCATGTTCTTATTGTTGTTGTAATGTATGTGCATTTTTCCTATTGAACCTTCTCATTATCAACTTCATCCTCCTCCTCATTATGAGTAACACCAGGATGATCCACCTGGACATGACTAGAATCTAGTTGGTCTTTAGATTCTATCTTAATTACTTGATTTGATATTTTAACATCACCATTATAAGGCATCATAGATTTTTCATCAAAAGTAACACCCCTATTAATCACAAACTTAGAATCTTTTAAATTTCAAAGGGGATATAGCATTTGATCCCTTTTTCATATCCTAGAAAGATGGGTTTCTTTACTATATTATCAAGTTTTGTTATCCTTGACGTGATAATATGTTGTGCATCCAAAAAAATTTAGTGTATCATAATCAACATGTTCACCTTACCACGCCATATAAGGTGTATCTCCATCTAAAATAGAATGTGGGGATCTATTTACCACGTAACAAGATGTAGGAAGTGTTTCTGCCCACCATTCTTGACCTAACTTAGAATTAGATTGCATACATTTTGCTTTTTCAAAAAATGTACAGTTCAGTCTTTCTGTGACTTCATTTTGTTGTGGTGTGTCTTACAATGCCTTATTGATCATAAAAGTTATTGAAAGATCTCTCTATATATTCTGTACCATTTTC